CGGTCATGCCCGACCGGACTCACCCAGCGTTCGGTCACTCAACATCTCCTCTGTGCGCTACCACATCAGCGGGACCGGACGCACCCAGCCAGTGTTCGGTCAAAGACCGACGCCAACGTCTTCACTGCTTCTACTGACCGAACGCGCTGGTCCAGTTGAGGCCAGCGTCCGGTCCACTCTATGAGACCCAGTCTTTTCTTTATAGGGCGTCGGTGGCACCGTCGGACTGTCCGCACTCTGTGGGCCGACACTCTGCCGGTGAAGTTTAGAACCCTTGCTCAAATGTGCCAACCACCAAGTGTATCACCTTGTGCACATGTGTTAGCATATTTTCACAAATATTCTCAAGGGTGTTAGCACTCCACTAGATCCTAAATGCATATGCAATAAGTTAGAGCATCTAGTGGCACTTTGACAACCACATTTCGATACGAGTTTCACCCCTCTTAATAGTACAGCTATCAATCCTAAATGTGATCACACTCGCTAAGTGTCTTGATCACCGAAACAAAATAGCTTCTACCACTTATACCTTTGCCTTGAGCCTTTTATTTTTTTCTTTCTTCTTTTCAAGTCCAAGCACTTGATCATCACCGTGGCATCACCATCATCATGTCATGATCTTCATTTGCTTCACCACTTGGAATGTGCTACCTATCTTATGATCACTTGATAAACTAGGTTAGCACTTAGGGTTTCATCAATTCACCAAAACCAAACTAGAGCTTTCATCTAGGACCACCATAGCGCAACCAGTACCCTCGCAATGAATTAATCAATATGAATACCATAGAGGCCACACCTCTGCAACGCCAAAGACAACAACCAAGTTCAAGATCTCAACAAACCCCCGCCAACAGCCAAAACGACAGCAGAGAACATACCCAAACCAGACCCAACCCAAGAGATCCAGCGAAGCTATACGGCCATTTCTGCGGACTAGGAAAAGGCCACACAATAAAACAATGCGCGTGCTTCGTGAAGGGAAAAGAATATCAAGAGGCACAACAAGCCGCAGCTTCAGGCCCACCCAAACCTATTAACTACACAAGGAGACAACCCACCCCCGCAACCACCCCATACCAATACACTCCAGTAAACTACGGTATCCCCTCGCAACACCAACACACACAGTATCAAACCTTCGCAACCTACAACCCATCCTACCACCACTACAGCAACTACGACAACCCTCAGTCATCATTCAACTACAACAATCATCCCAATAACCAACCATACAAGGTCACCCATCCCCTCACCCCACCCCAAATGCAAAACCAGCATCCAGCCTTACCACCACCACCACCGCCAGCAAACCAACATCAACAAGTAAAACCAGAGCCCACAAGCCAACTCAACCAAACAACAATCAACAACCCAACTAGAACCTTCGGTGTGATACTTGCAATCACTAGAGGATCCAACGAGGATCATGGCAACAAGAGGTAGCGCAAGGAGCACATGAGGCAGTGCACCACCTCATTACCGAGGGGCCCCACAAGAACTTGTAGTGGTCCCACACCCTAGTAACCTTCGACAGCACGGATCTCAAACTAAAAGACTACCCTCACACCGACGCGATGGTCATCGAGATAAACCGGGCCGGTTGGGCAGTAACAAGGATCCTGGTCGACACTAGAAGCTCCGTAGACATCCTATTCGCGTCAACCTTCAACAACATAAAACTCGATAGAAAACTTCTCCAACCAGCTGGACGACCACTATATGGCTTCGGAGGCAAGCAAGTAAAGGCAATAGGAAAGATAACACTTCCAGTAACCTTCGACGACCAAAACAACAGCAGAACATAGCACATAACCTTCGATGTGGTGGACATGTTGTACAACTACAATGCAATCTTTGGCTGAGGGGTTGCAAACATCTTCAGCGCCGCCTCCACCCGGGCTATCTCTATATGAAGCTGCCCTCCGCTAAAGGCGTGATTGCCGTATACGATGACCAAGACCTCGCCAGAATAGCAGAAGAAACAGCTACCCCAGGTCAGAAAAATGTGCACAACCTCAACAAAGAAAAGCCAAAAGCTAAGGATCCTTCGCACAATGAACCAGAACAGCAAACCCAGGCGAAGCTAGCAAAAGAAACTAAGAAAGTACCCCTATTCGATGGCAACAATAACAAGCAAGTCATCATCTCCACTATGCTAGATGACAAAACTGAGGGCAAGTGTGGGGGGTACGACCCCGGATACCCACGACAAACTACATGGGCTGCGCTGCTAGGGGCGGTCCAGCTGAAAGCTCTAGTTTGGTTTTGGTGAATTGATGAAACCCTAAGTGCTAACCTAGTTTATCAAAGTGATCATGAGATAGGTAGCACTACTCCAAGTGATGAAGCAATGGCGAAGATCATGACGATGGTGATGGCATGGCGATGATCAAATGCTTGAACTTGAAAAGAAGAAAGAGAAAAACAAAAGGCTCAAGGCAAAGGTATAAATAGTAGGAGCTATTTTATTTTGGTGATCAAGACACTTAGCGAGTGTGATCACATTTAGGTTAGATAGCCATACTATTAAGAGGGGTGAAACTCATATTGAAATGCGGTTATCAAAGTGCCACTAGATGCTCTAATTCATTGCATATGCATTTAGGATCTAGTGGAGTGCTAACACCCTTGAAAATGTTTGTGAAAAATGCTAACACATGTGCACAAGGTGATACACTTGGTGGTTGGCATATTTGAACAAGGGTTATTAACTTCACCGATGGAGTGTCCGCCCGTAGAGTGCGGACAGTCTGACGGTGCCATCGACGCCCTAAACTCAAGTGAACGTGGTCACTGTAAGTGACCGAACGCTGGTCTCTGAAGGACCGGCGCGTTCGGTCAGTAGCAGCAGAAGAAGCGCAGCGTTGGTCGTCGACCGGACATTGGCACTGAAATGACCGGACGCTGGGTGGCTGCATCCGGTCACACTGACATGGTCATGCATAGGGGAAACACCATGTGACTGGATGCTGGGTGAGTCCGGTCGAGCATGACCGGACGCGTCTGGTCGTGAAAAATTATTTCTGGATGCTTACTGGAAACGACCGAACGCTGAGGTCCAGCGTCCGGTCACTTTGAGCTGCTGTGTCCGGTCGTCACTTGACCGTTGAGATCGAGCGATCAACATTTGAAGAGAGAGGACACGTGGCACGCATCACGTGACCGAACGCTGAGGTCCAGCGTCCGGTCAATTTGACCGCAGCGTCCGGTCACCCCGTGTTGTGCCTAGTGAAGGGGTACAACGGCTCTATTTTGTGGGGGCTTCTATTTAAGCCCCATGGCCGGCTCAAGCTCACTCTCTTGGCCATTTGCATTGACATAGCAGCCTTGTGAGCTGAGCCAAAGCTCTCCCACTCATCTCCATCATTGATTTATCATCTTTGTGAGATTGGGAGAGAATCCAAGTGTATTGCTTGAGTGTTTGCATCTAGAGGCACTTGGTGTTCGTGTTTCGCTGCGAGATTCGCTTGTTACTCTTGGTGGTTGCCGCCACCTAGATGGCTTGGAGCAGCGAGGATCGTCGAGTGGAGGTTGGTGTTTGTCTCTGGCTCCGATCGTGGTGATTGTGAGGGGTTCTTGACCTTTCCCTGATGGAGAGCCAAAATGTATTCTAGTGGATTGCTCGTGGCTTGTGTGATCCTCATCTTATGTTGGTTGTGCGGCACCCTATTGAGGGTTTGGCATGTGATGCCAATTAGCGCGTGAACCTCCAAGTGAGTGAATCGCCACAACGAGGAGTAGCTTGTCGGCAAGCAAGTGAACATCGGTAAAAAAATCATTGTGTTCATCATTTGATTCCGAGGTGATTGGTCTTCATTGTTATTCATTCTAGTGATTGATTGGCTTCTTTCTTGACACGGCGGTATAATATTCTTGCTCACTCTCTTTATATTACCGCAAACTAATTGTCAAGCTCTTTAGTGTAGCTAGTTGTGAGAGCTTGTTAGTTTGGTTAGTGTGGCTCTTTAGTGAGCTTTTGAGAGCACGCTAACTTAGTGTAGTGTCATAGCTATTGTGTGGATAGAAACTATATAAACTAGAATTATGGTAGGTGGCTTGCTATTTTAGTAGGCTAGCGCAACACTTGCTTCGCCTCATAATTGTCTAACCGGTTTGTTAAGTGTTGTTGTAGATTTTTAGGCTATTCACCCCCCTCTAGCCATTAGGACCTTTCACCAGCCCACAAGATGAAGACCTATGGTGCACGACACTGCTCGGTGTGTACCGCAAGACATCAAGGGTGATATCCTGAAGATGCTACGAACAGGTGCTGAGTCACTTTGGGTAACTCTTTTGTAATCCCACTATATGAAAAAGGTGCTGAGTCGCTTTGGGTACAGTGACTGCACACCTATTTCAACTCCTTATGACCCAAGTGTGCTATTGAGGAAAATCACATAATAGCATGGGATCAATTGAGATATTCTCAAATTATTGGCTTACTTATGTATTTAGCTAGTGCAACGAGGCCTGACATCTTGTTTGCTATGAGCAAACTTAGCCGGTTTGTTTCAAACCCGAAAGATGATCATTGGCGTGCTCTTGAGAGGGTATTGCGCTATCTAAAAGGGACTGTGAGCTATGGTATTCACTATACCGGGTATCCAAGGGTACTAGAGGGTTACTGTGATGCAAATTTGATATCTGATGCTGATGAGATTTACGCCACAAGTGGATATGTGTTCGCACTTGGAGGTGGCGTTGTTTCATGGAAGTCATGCGAGCAGACCGTCCTAACGAGGTCAACAATGAAAGCAGAACTCACAGCATTAGATACCACCGTTGTTGAGGCCGAGTTGAAGAGGTATTCCAAATAAATAATTCTCCCAAATTGAAGAGGTATTCCAATGCAAATCCGAATCTGAGCTAATTCGTTTTGTATTCGTAACCAAGGACATTCGGATCCGTATTCATATTCGACAAAAAAAAAATGGTAAATAGCGACACGGGTATCCGATCTGTTTCCACACCTGCCACCAGCGGGCAGGGTTCAGTCATTCAGATGGTGCAATTAGGTGAATTTTACTTTGGCATACGTCCAGTATGGCAAAATAGAAAGGCTGCACACGACTAGCCAGAGTAGGATATCCAGATGACATTCTAATTTCCCGAAAGCACTTCATTTTCCACTTCTGAATCCGAGCCAAATCCCTGGGATAACCGTCCATGCACGCAGGCAGGAATACGGCAGACCTGACGCTGCCAGTCAGAGTCTGCAATGAACATCTCACCGTCTGCGGAAACCACGCATTGCATCCAGTTGCCGCTGCCTCAGGTTGCCATACTTCCTTCTACGTCGTCCAGTACCGGCAGCAGCCTGAAAGACACAGTTGCAAAAGCTTTTTAACTCAACAAACACATAAAAGGGCGTACCCAGTGCAGAGAGCACCCGCTCTGTGTGGGGTCTGGGGAAGGGTGTCAGTGACAAGCCTTACCCTCGCATGTGCAATGCGAGGAGACCGCGACTCGAACTCGGGACCTTCCGGTCACAGGCGTGCCCCAAATCATTGGTAGGGTCTGGACTAGAGATGCCTTTTACCTGCTCCTCAGCTTTCATTGATTCCATGAGCTCGTCCATATCTGGCGACTCTTTTCCTTGTATAGCGCCCATCATTTTCTGCATTTTTGCACGCATTTGGAAGAGTTGTGCAACCAATTGGCTCACCTTATAGTGGAGGAACAGTTAATCAGATCTCTTGGTGATTACTTTGGTTTATATACTAGAACATATAGGAAAAGATCATGCATGATAAGAACTGAACCTGCTGTTCGGTTTTTCCAGAGTCCTTGGCCACTCGTTTCCTTCTCTCGCGTGATTCAGCAAGTAACTCTGGCCTTTCCCTTTCCTCTGCACAAGCCCCGATAAACAACTGAGCATACATATAGGAATGATGGGGTTATTGCCATCAAGCAACTCAGGATTAGTTATCGACTGAGACACTGTTTAGTCAGTGGCCTTAGATTTCAGCCTCAAAGTTAAATATGTTATGTATGTTTAGTTAAAAAAAAATCAATTCCTTCAGCAATGCATGAATTCATCCCTCTTGTCAGAGTTCAGACTCATCATAAAAGAAATTTGTCAAATATATTTGTAGAATTTTAAAGGGAAAATAGATATTTTTGGAAGTGGAACAATCTCAAACCTGAGGCAACTTAAGGCCTCTCTTGCGACTGTGAGAATAGTAGGACACCAACCAAACAGACGATAGCAAGTGGAAGCTAATCTATATAGTCACACTATTACATGTTTGTAATGCTGGTCAAGCAGGCTCAGACAAGCTATTGACTTCGTGGCAAATCATTGGGCTTAAAAATCAAATACTAAATAAGTTTCACATACCAGCTCCAAATATGTGTTACAAGACTTAAAACAGTATATACGAAACACTGGATAGTAAGAGTTCAGGAGGAATATGCAAAAAAGATATTTTTAGGATGTCTCTTAAATGTGGAATACATACCGAGAGTCATTACATTGATCACTGACTCCATAAACTTGAGATTCTTCTCAGCTTCACGGATTTGTGCAGGGGTAACCTATTTAAACATGGCAAGATTTGTCTTAAATCTTAATAATGTGAATTTTATAGCCTTGAATATGATCATTAATTGCTTTCATAAGACAATTCCAAAGTAAGGTATTAAATTAGGTCCAGAAGTTCATATTTATACCTTGTTCATGCCCGGAATCATGCCAATTAAACGACTGAATGAACCCATTTGTGCAATCATTTGTGTTTGCTTCAGAAAGTCGTTAAAGTTAAATTTTGCACTCAAGATCTTCTTCTGTAATTCCTCAGCATCTTCTTGACACATCTACTTGTACAAACAGGTAATGCCATAGAATATCAAATTATAGTCTAATAAAAGACAAGACAAAAGGAACATTTCACAAGAAGTGACTTACCACTTCTTGTGCTTTTTCAACAAATGAAAGTACATCTCCCATTCCCAGGATACGCTGTGCCATACGATCTGGGTAGAAAGGCTCAAGATCTTCAATACGCTCTCCTTGTCCTACAAATTTAATTGGCTTTCCAGACACCTGCAAATTTTGTCAATTTTTCATATTTATCAGAATGTGTACTAAGGAAGGAAGAACACCTGCTGATGATGTAAGCGTAAAACAAGTAATCGTTGAGCATTTATAGTTTAAGCACTTGTATATAACAGTACTCCTCCTTTTCCCCTTTGTTCATACCACAGGTAAGTTAAAAAATAAAGTACTATAGTAAAAGAGGGAGTACAAGGAAGTCATGGGACATGACCAATTGAACACATTAAGGGGCTATTTGGTTCTAGGCCCTAAGAAACCAAGCCAAAATTTGACCCACCCTGAAAAATTTTCTATTATTTATTTTGAGACCAAATTTGTCCTGACCAGAGAAATTTGTCAGTGGTCGGCTACAGTTAACAACCAAAGTTGGCTCTCCCTCGAGGAAGCAATTTGGCCAGGCTGCTAACCACTCCCATGGGTGAGGTGTCAAGCAACCATTGTATGCATGTAGATGAAAATTTGAAGGTAATCAAACTTCAAATGCTAATGTCTACTAAACCATGTATATAATTTTCAATTTGTTTTCACCATAATATTCCTCACAATTTTTTCTACAAAATAAGATCACACATGGCTATTATGTTTCAATGAAGAAAAAAATAATCGCATGTGAGCGGTGCATGTCAGACTCACAGTTTGACAAAATTTAGCATGGCTACATCCAAACATTTTTCTAGACATATCGAAAGTTTAGCATGGGCCGTGCATGTCAGACTCACAGTTTGACAAAATATGGCATGGCTACATCCAAACATTTTTCCTGACCATGTCCAAATTTTGAAAAGGCTATGAACGAACATATTTTTTTCCACATTTTTCCATTGACCATTTTTGGCTATGACCAAAGTTTGGCTTGGCCTATAGCCATGATGCATTTTTCTATTAAGTGATCCTACAAATGTGTGGTGCTACCATGAATTAGTAGTTTACTTGTGGAGAAACATGAATCAATAGTATTTTCTGAAGCTAATTCATGAAACAAAACGACAGAAAACAAGAAACCTCTTTAACACTCAATGCTGCTCCACCTCTTGAGTCACCATCCAGTTTTGTCAGTATAGCACCAGTTATACCAATCTCATCATTGAAGGAGCTGACCAACCCTGACCATATCATTAAAAAAAGGGTAAGTGTGCACTCAGAATTTGAGATTTATATCATAGAATGGCATGTCCTGCTACTTATAGTGGGCACCTTATGCTTCCACTCCTATGAAAAGAACACAAGAAATCATGGAGAACACTAATAATGTTGATCAAAGGTTACTATATATACATGAGATACGAAAAATGTAGGAACTCCAAATCTAGATGGGGAAATACAAGAAATTTATACACAAGCTATGAAACAGTCAAGTTTCAACCTGTGAAACATGGGCAGAGCATTAGGTAAGCTACAAATATTAAGTATAAAACGATGATGAAATAGAGCCCTAAACCCAACTTTAGAATAAACAAGATGCAGCTGCATACCTGCAGCTTCTTGGCCAGTCATGGCATCAACCACCAGAAGAACTTCTGTAGGATTCACTGCTTTTTTTACTTCTTTCAACTCATTCATCATTGCTTTATCTACCTAGTGATACAAAAGATTAATCAGATGACATCAATGGTACTGATCAAATTTACTGCGAAAAGTATGAAGGACAGCTAGCTGCCAATACTCCAATCATAAAAAAATTAAAAATTAAAAGTCTAAAACTGCATTGACATGCATCAGTTTAGCAAAAAGGAAAGTAGTAGATTGAAATTATGTTATGAAGCTAGGCTCTGACCTATGCCTCTGCTTTTGTTTTTCTGTTCTTTGTTTTTAATAAATTTCAGTAGGGGAGCAAGCCCTTCCTGTTCTCTCTCAAAAAAAAATTATGCTATGAAAGAGTTTTATGTTGTGAAACACACTTATTTTCAGTTTTCACAGAAGCTCATGATAGATTATCTGTTGATTTACTTTAAAATACTATAATGGCCTTCACTTTTGAGTTGAAATATTATTTTAAGATTCAAAGAAGTATAGAACAATAACAAAATATCTCTTTGGCTGAATAGCATTTTGAGTTGAAATATTATTTTAAGATTCAAAGAAGCCATAGCATTTCTATTTGGCTGAATAGCCTGTTCTATAGTTCTGCTGCGCTTCTTGATGCTTCTGTTTTGTTTTCTTATCTTGTTTTTATGTATTTATATAATACCACAGTAGGGTATTCCCCTACTGCGTTTCTCTCAAAAAAGAATATCAACATCTCATTCAAAGTAAACATTTCAGACCATTTTTCATGTTGTTACCAACTTAATTCCTTACAAGAAAACAAATAGTGCAATTTGACCACATATCTAAAGTACAACCTAACATTTTCAAAGTTCAGCATGATTATGACCTGGATCCAAGATTTCGCATAGTTGCACTTTATCATTTATACTCACAGCTGAAACAAATCAGTGGAACAAATATTGAAGCAACATGTGTATGACCTGCAGTCTTCCAGCCGTGTCCACTATAATTACATCAGCCTTATTGACTTTTGCCTCCTTCAAACCGTTTTTGGCTATTTGTGAAGGTTTTGCTTCAGTTCCTTCTGAGTAAACTGGTACACCAACCTATCAACATTCAAACGTTTTCTACTGAAGAGTAAGTTATAGCAGAACATTCAAGCAAGTGTGTATTCTAAAAGAGACGGAATATGCATCAATGGCAAGTTCTACAGCTTTTACCTTTTTACCCAGAATAGTGAGTTGATCAATAGCAGCAGGCCTGTAAACATCTGCAGCAACTAGCATACAACTCTTGCCCTGTAATCTGAGACTGGTCTATAAGTACGAAAAGTCTATGGATGAATTAGAAAATGTTTAAATAGTTAAAGTACAGGCTTAAGGAAAGCACCATTTTTTTTAGATAGAAGGCAAGCTTCGCACAAACAGTAGTTTTTCCAACACCTTGCAGACCTGCCAACAAGATAATAGTTGGCCCAGATTTTGCAAACACCAAATCTGATACCTCCCCGCCCATCAGTTGTACGAGTTCATCATTCACAACCTGCATCATTGAGATAACTTAGTCTTCAGTGTTTCAAGCATATGAAATAGCTTTAAGTCAACATTAACTATTAAGCACCAAATTTCTTTGATAAGGTTGCTTCTGTGCACAATATATCATATCCATTAATTTATCTGCCTCTCCCAGAAAGGAAAATGACAAATTTTTTGGTAACCATGCAATTAAAAGATGGCTAAGAAGCCAAAGTCAAACAAAGGAATTGCATGTACAATACTAGAATGGTACTTCACGACAATATGGGTATACCTTCACCAACTGCTGGTCAGGTCGCACACCTCGGATTACATCGGTGCCTACGGCCTTTTCACTTACAGACTCAATGAATCTTCTTACTACTGGCAAACTTACCTGCAAAATAGGTTCCACCTAAGATTATGAAGGGGGGGGTTATAATACAAACAAAAAAATCATGCAGAAGTACGAATCAGACATACATCTGCCTCCAAAAGTGCTCTTCTGATATCCCGCATTGGTTCAGCTATGTTTTCCTTTGTCAATACATCTTGAACCACAAAAAACATATTGCTTAATGAAAAACTGAGCTGGGTTATAGAGGATGCAGACATAAATGAAAAATGCAATGTAAGAGCAAATCAACTGAAAATCTCATAGTAGAATCAAACACAAGTTGTCCATGAATAACTTTGGTACACTCAACGGTTTCCTCTTTTGTTGCAAAAAAAAAGACGATTTTGATATCTGCCCAAATTAATAAGACTGGATAGGCCATACATCTTGAATCAGTGATCAGTGAGGGAGGCCTTGTAAATGAAACTACAGGCAACAGTGCCATCAACTATTTCCGAAAAGTTTGGCCAATGGTTGCCGAGTAGTTTGTATATATATAACAAAAAACCGATGCCGAGAGACATGTAGCGCATCATGTTTATGGATAGAACAAGCATTTGAAAAAAAATAGCCAATAGAGAATATCACAAATTCACACAATTATTGCATTATATTGTATACCTGTTACGATACATCGCAAATAGAAAGACATTAGTAAACATAATTTGGTACACGACATATTTACTCGTACTAAAATTCCGAGCTGTATCTACTTTTTTGTGAATTAGGGGCAAAAAAAAAATTAGGCTGGAGCATCAGATGTGACAAGAGTTATATCTATGGAAGCAACAACAACGCTCACCGACTCCCCTCAGCTTGTTCCAGGCGGACTCGAGGCCGGTGGTGAGCTGGCCGAACATCTCCGCCCGAACAACCAGCCCGCCCGCCCTCCCACGCCGCCTCCATCCCTGATGTCACACAGAAAAAACATGCTAAATCTATTCTAAGCCCAGAACGCGAAACTCTCGTCGAGGGAACGGAAGAAACGAAAGGCCGAGCGGCGAAGGGTACTGAAGCGGGACCTGGAAGGGTGACGGGTGGGAGCGAAGCGCTGGGCTCCGGGCAGAGCGCAGGTGGAGCGAGGTGGTAGCGGAGAAGCGGCGGAGGCGGAGGGATGCAGTGGCCGCCTTCTCCGGCGAGCGGCGTGCGGTGGCGAGCGTCGAGGAGAGCGCGAGCGCTGTGGTGGCCTCCATTGTGGGGGTTGGGCAGCAGACGAGACGGGAGTGTGTTCTGCGGAGGAGAGGGAAGCGTCGAGGCGGATAAGAGCAGTTGGAAACTGATTCCCCTTCAGTTGGGCCTGTCGGGCTTTGTGGGCTCGTAATGCTTTCTTGTCTAACGCGATGCCAATTAGAACTTCATCTCTCTCTTTTTTTGTTTCTTTTTTTTTTTTGAGAAAGACACTCGGGAGTGTCTCAAACTCAAATAGAACTTCAACTTGAATCTCCCGCGCTACTGCGTGGCTCTTTATTTGCGTGGAAATACTCGGACCCGGGTGTAAATCCGCTTGCGTCGGTTCGGACACGGCTTCCACTTTGCCTCGCTCGTCTCTCTATCTCTGCTCTGTCTCGTCCATCCCATCTCCAGGTCACTCTCGTGTCCGCTGGAAGCAGTAGAGCCCCGCACCGCCACCATTGCTTCCTTTCTCCACCCAAGCCGACCATGCCGTCTCCTTCCTTAGTTCGCGCAGTGCCTCCTCAGCCTCTTCCCTAACCCAACAGCTGTCGGGATGCGTCGCCGCCGCTGCCCCTGTCGATGGCAGCTGAGTGCAGGTGTCGGAGCGCCTCAGGTCGTCTCTAGCCGAGCCAAGGGGCACCCACGAGCGCAGCCAGTGCTGGTGGTGCTCGCACGCCGCTGGCTCCCACCCTGACGGCCGGAATCGACCGACCTCGTTCTCTTCCTCTATGTTGCAAACATATGTTTCAATTATTGCAGATGTTTAAGAGGTACGTTGCAAATGTTTCGTATAGATGTTACAAAAGTAGATCAGGATATTGCACATGTTGCAATGGCTATACATGTATGTTGCAAACGTCTGTTTTAAATGTTTTATCTATTTTTTCAGACGTATGATGCAAGTGTTTTTATTTGGACGTTGCGTATGTTTCACACATATGTTTGCAAGTGTGTTTTGCAATGGCTTTTCAAGTGTTTTTATGTGTTTTCGCAAGTGTTCTAGATGCATGTTTTAAGTGTTTCATCTTTCTTCAGATGCATGTTGCAAAAGTTTTTATCTGGATGTTTTAAAAGTAGATCGGGTGTTGTGCATATTGCAACGTGACTCCGCCTATTGCGCCATGCATGCGTGTGGGAAGCGGAGGGATGGAGCGTTGCACAGCTGCTGGCGCGCCGCCTAGCGCAGGCGTGCAACAGCCGCGGGCGTCTGTCCAGACGTCCGGGAGCTAGTAATTCCCTTGTTTGTGAGATGTACGTACTTTCAACTGGTGTTTGGCAGCCTACCGAGACTATGGCCTGTTTGGATGCCGCTAATAATTAGCTATCTAATAATTCATAACTAATATTAGTTATTATTAGCTAGTTTGATCCAACTAATTAATAAAATAGTTGTTACTAGGTGTTCAACTAACAATTAACTAAATTATTATTTAGACCTATTTGAATACAAGGAACTAATTGTTGGCAACTAACTATTATTAGCTCCTGGGTCCAAACAGTTGGGTGAAAGATGTGATCACGCTCTAACACCACTTAGATTTGAATTCTCTTCAACTCAAAGTTGAGTATATATTTTTCTCTTAATGAAAAACCGACTTGTTCTCCTTTGGTTGGTCACATTTTCATTGACCTAGTAATTTGGGTAGGTAATGTAATCAACATAAGAAGACCTCATAGAACACTTCTTTATTACCTTGGAATTTAGTGGTTTAAGTTTATATATGGCATTTAGTAGGTGTGTATATATATTGAAACACACATAGATTCCATTAGATGGCAAAAGAAAATGTCAAATCTTTTGCTTCCCCATTTAATCAACATAATCCAAATCAAAGTACTGTCGCACAATAAAAAAATAACTATGATGGTACATTGGTCTAGCCTAATTGAAGACGGGTATTTTTGGACGGCCTTAAGAATCAGACATATCAAATTACTAATTTTGAAGTTCATTTTCAATTTTAGATCCAAGAACAAAGGAGAAATGGCCTCTACGTTAAAAAGGTAAATTAACGTGCATCTTTTCCGTTTTGGCCTAGCTGCTAACAAACAACCCACTCAAGTTTCCACTGTACAATTCGCAAACACAACCCATGACCATGAGTTCTCATTCATCTCTTCTAGCATTGAAGTCAAAAGTCATACTAGGTCCTAACTGTAATTGCTCTTAAGACAATAAAGGCGATGGGTAGCAACCTAACCCCCTATTATTGCATAGGCACTTCAGACGAGAATGGCCATGTTTGGAATCCCTTGGCTAAAGTTTAGCCTAGAACTAAAGATTAGCCTTCGCAATGAAGGGGCAAAAGTTTAGCTTTTTGGGCTGTTTGATACATGACTAAAAGGTGACTAAGAAATGAAAGAGAGAGCAGAGAGAAAGAGAGTAAAGTCACGTGTTAACACTTTGAGCCCCTTTAACCTACCTTGCAAGGGCTAATGGGCTAATAGAGGTATAAAGATCAGCCTCTCCTTTTTAGCCCTCCTGTTTGGATCCCCAAGGGCTAAAAGATGGCTAAAAGAGAAGGACTAATCTTTAGCCCCTTGGATCCAAACAGGGCCAAAGTAAGGTCGGACAAATGCCACACAACATATCTAGTATTATAGAGAAGAAATAAAAACTAAAGCGAGATAGCAACGGCTATAAATATCCCCTCTCCTTTGACACGTTGTATGTTAGCCTGATAGCCTCCCAAAGTTATCTGCTGCAAACTCACACACTTGCGATGAGGCTGAGGCACCAGACCCGAGGGAGCAACAAACGATCCCCATTGCTGCCAACATCCTCACTCACCCTAAGGGGCTGTTTGGCATGGCTGTAGAGCCGAACTCCAGGCTAGAGCTGACTAGAGCTAGCCAAACACCCTAACTCCAAAAAAAAGTTGGAGCAGCCGAACTCCATGGAGTTATTAGAGCTCTAGTTCATTTTCTTGGAGCACCTCTTCCCCAGCTCTAGAACTCTCTAAAATAGACCTGGACATGGAGTTTGAAGGAAATTACCCACCTTTGCCATCGATTACACACTCCAGCGAACCGTTTTTCTTTCTTTCTTTCTGTCCGCCCCCCATCCATTATCCGCGAGGCCGCCCCCCCGCCCTCGCCACATCGGGCGGCGCCGCCCCCACGCCTCCCTTCCCCCTCCGGCCTATCCTCCTTCCCCCGTGCCTCCTTCCCCTACGCCTCCACTCCCCCAACCCTAACCCTAGACGAGAAGAAGGGCGTCTTCCTCATCGACGGCGGGCATCCTACGCATCGACGGCCGTCGCCCGACGACTTGCTCCGGCGCTGTGAACCGTGGCAAGCTCCCCAACCTGCAGTGAAGACCCGGCAAGCTCCCCCAACCGTGCAAGGTATTCCATCCCCATTTGTATGCTGTGATTTGTGAAGAATGCAGTGATTTGGTGATTTGGTATAGATGCTCTGTAGTTGCCCTGTACTACTAAAATTTTGGTAGTGAATTAGTTGCTCTGTAGTTCATGTTAGCGAACTGTGCATGTTCTGAATGCTTGTGTTGAGTTGGTATAGATGCCAGAAATTGATTGGAACGTAGAGAACACTCGGATCCTATGTGGTTTGATGGCCGAACAAGTTGAGAAAGGAAATAGGCCAAATACATTCTTGAATTCGGTTAGTTATGCTGCGGTTGAAAAAGGATTCAAAGATAGGACGGGTATTGAATTAACCAAGGGGCAAATCAAGAACAAGTGGGATAAATTGAAGGAAGATTTCAAGGCATGGAAAAAGCTAAAGATGAGGCAAACAGGAATGGGTTGGAATAATGGCACTATTGATATGGACGATGAATGGTGGAAGAAAGCTAGAGCTGTAAGTGTTATATGTACGAATGCTACCTATTTATTAATTAGTTGCTGTTATTATTTGTACTAATATGTGTTGCTATCTTGCATATTTTCAGGACATTCCAGGCTGCGGGAAGTTTAAGAAGCATCCCCTTCAAAATGAAGATGAGTTGACGACTTGTTTTCAAGGCATCGTTAATGTTGGTGCTGACCATTGGTCCCCTTGTGCCGCCAATGCTGCAATGGCTGCAGCACCTACACTTGAAGGTGCGACACAAGAACCAGCCCAAGATGAAGAAGGTGCAGCACAAGGTGCGACATAAGGTGAGGAGGTAGATGAGGTTACACCTTCCCCTAGCAGTGGCAAGAGAGCGGCAAATTCTAGTGTACTGTACCTCAAATTCTAGTGTACTGTACCTCAAATTCTTATGCTATTTTTTCATATGTGCAGGCAAGTACTATGTTGTGGACGCGGGCTATCCTAATCGTCCAGGTTACCTAGCTCCAAACAAAGGTGAAAGGTATCATTTACCTGAGTGGCATTGAGGTATGGAACCATATACTTCAAAAGAGAAGTTCAACCGGATTCATTCATCTATTCATAATGTTATTGAATGTTCATTTGGAGTGTTAAAGATGAAGTGGCAAATTCTTTATAAGATGCCTTCCTATTCCATGCTCACACAAAAGAAGGTTGTAGCTGCTACCATGCTCCACAATTTCATAGTGAGCATGCTAGTGGGGATGTGGACTTTGCTAATTTTGATCGAGATCCGAACTATGTGCTGACTATCCCAGAAAGGTACAACAAATATGCTGCGTCTCAACATGCCTCTGATGGATCCACTTCGGAATCAAGCTTTGTGACTATGGACTCATTTCGTGATACTTTCTTTGGCTACATCCGTCACATTAGCTTGGAATTAATGCAATCATATTTTCAAACTATGGACTTGTATCGCATTAGGTTGGAATTAATGTAATCATATTTTCAAACTATGGACTTGTATCTCGGATTATTTGGTTGGACATGATTATCTTGTAATATGTTGGTACTTTAATTTAATTCACATGCTTGTTTTGCTGCTGGACGCATCATTGAAGTACACTCATGTCAACCAAGGGCAAAGTGGGCAATCCACACCGATAAAACACCATTCTGGAGTTGAGAGTACCCTTCTTGCCAAACACCCCCGTCAAACAGCTCCAACTCCACTTAGAGC